CCTTGCAAGGAAGGCAGGGGGCTCAGTCTAAGCTAGGGGCTTCTGGGGCTGCTCCCTGCCCCACATCTACAGGGCAGCTCAAAGGGACCCCAGGAAACGCCTTTTATGCTGCAGCCGGAAGGTGGAAAGGACTTTCCTGCTGGTCTTTCTCCAACCCCCTTTCCCAAACTGCCTTCCTATTGCAAAATTGTGGGGAGGGGGTCATTCCCCCCACCCCTCCTCTTCATTCACCTCTTGCATTTCAAGAAAAAGCCCCCGAGTTCAGTGTGGGTCTCTTCCAGGACTTGGCAAGGCCAGAGAATTCTCTGGGGCTGGGGGCCTAATCCCTTGCCCCTTGTCCTGGGAAGAGCAGAGGGGGCCTTTTCAGCAGAATAATGACTTTAATGGTGCAGTTACTGCCCATTTCCTTAATGCACAACACGGAGGCCAACAAACTCTGGGTGGGAGGGGGAGCGGAGGGGCTGCGCATGCCAGAGAGGCCAAAATTGCTTCCTTATCCAAGTCAGCTCTTTGCCCGGCTTCCGTGTTTACCGCTCCCCCCCCTCACCTCAGCCTCCCCTTCCCCGTAAGGCAGAGGATCCCCTCTCCTTCCCCAGTCCTTAACCAAGAGAGCAAGAATGGGAAGAGAAGAGAAACCAAAAGGGTTTAATTTAGCAGCCATTAGCTTTTCAAACATCAAAGGGCACAAAATGGAAATCCTCATTAGCTAATAAAAAGCCCATTGCTCACTCTTGCATTCTGTAATGTCATTAATAGCAGCCAGCGCTTCAGTTGAAGCTTTTGCAAACTCTGTCCTCTGCTCCGCCGCTTTTGCCAACCAGGTGCCCATCATTCCTGCCAACCTTCCCACCAAGCCGGATTCTCTCGCAGCCATAAACATACATGTGGTGCCCAACATTTCACCCTCCGAGTCTGCTTAGGGAAAGGGGAGGAGTGGCACACTTGGCAAGACCACCTCTGCCCCCCCTCCCAATTCCCTTCCCCATTGCTCTGCAAAACCCACCGAGAGGCTCTCTTCCGTGCTCCCCCAGACACCCATTGGGCATCACTGCCTCTCCCTGAAAAGAGCGCGGGAGTGACGGTAGAGAAAGTTGGGAAACCAGGCAAAATTAGCGGTAGAGGAATTCTTCATTAACTATCGATGGACGAATCTGGCTCTAAATTCTGCCGCAACTTACTCAACAAAGAACTTCAAAGCAAAAGTTGATTGGCTTAGAAACAGCCGTTCGGTTCAGTTACATGGCGAGAATTAAAGCCCCCCCCCCCCCTATGCAATTCAAGGGATGGTCCACACCCTTGATCTTAGCCAAAAGGCCGATACCAATTATCTGGACATCCCTCTAATAATCTCTGGACCTTTGTGTTATTATCCACTTTTAATGTCAATACTTTTTAAATTATATCTTAATGTTAGCATTTTTTAATATAGTGTAAAAACTAATGTGTATTGCTGGTCTTCGACCGTAATAAAGATTTTATTTACTATTTACAAGGGATGGTCCACACCCTTGATCTTAGCCAAAAGGCCGATACCAATTATCTGGACATCCCTCTAATAATCTCTGGACCTTTGTGTTATTATCCACTTTTAATGTCAATACTTTTTAAATTATATCTTAATGTTAGCATTTTTTAATATAGTGTAAAAACTAATGTGTATTGCTGGTCTTCGACCGTAATAAAGATTTTATTTACTATTTACAAGGGATGGTCCAGTTGTTGTTGAAGGAGGGGTAGATAAGAGGAACCCGGCTGATTCAGGAGAGAGAGAGAGAGTTTCGGGTCTCTTGTTCTGAAGGGACAAACCGGGATTGAAAAGAAAAGGAATCCGAGTTGATTGTAACGTGAGACACGGATAAGGTGAGGGGCCATTGACCTTATTGGATGGGATTTTTGAAGGTAGTATTTGAAACATCCAGCATCACATTCTTCTCATAGATAGTTTTATTTTCATTTTCTTACAGTCACCCATATACTGTACAGAACCGGGGCCATATAACATTAAACAATAAACACAG